TAAAAAAGAAATTTTTACTCAAAAGAGAAATTTTTACTAAAAAGAGAATTTATTACTAAAATACATATATAACGATAATCAATTAATAATCAATCAATACATAATGCATAATGTACGGTGCATAAACTATGTAGTCATGCGTCCGTCTGAGTACAATAAAATCTTATTATTTTTTTTGAAAGTCCGTACTAATTTGCGTTACCGTACTGTACTACTTTACTATATACTCAAAATTGTGGAATCATTTCATTATTGTTGAAATCCTAGCGTTATCAATCTAAAAATTTGCTATTGGTCAAATCAAAATTCAGATCAGGTGTAACCTAAGATCAAAACCTATCAAGGAAAAATATCCCCTTTTGGACTTTCAATTGCATTTTGACCGAACACAATCACCTAATTTATTAAGAATTGTGTCCGGTCAAAATATATTGAAAGTCCGAAAGACATTTTTACTTAGCAGCATTCAAATATACACCCAAACTCTACACTAACGCTGAGTAACGAAATTTTTTAGCTTGTTAACGCTAGGACAGTTGGTAACGCTAGGGTGTTTACAAATACATCTGTTCGATTTTTTAAACATTTTTTGTACGATTTCGAAATAAAAAATAATTAAAGATGAAAATAACTAGTCATTTTTATAAACTTATGGCAAAGTATTTACTCCTTTGCTTAGTCATAACATCATCGAAATCACAAAAGTCACAGTATAAATATTTTAATTATACGGAGACTACCTTAGGAACACAAGATACACCACCACTTGTAATAGACATTAAAAATTATGATGACAGAACAATTCTCGTTCATATTATACGAAATGATTCAACACAATCAGCCGCAGACTGTTTAAAGATTCGAGGAATAAGTTTAGAACAGAAATTACGTATAAGATTGATTCACTTAAATGGATCTGTTAAAGAAATTGATCCCAATTTAAATTTACATCCAGTTAATTATTGCTTACTCAATGTCGAAAATACTGATTATAAAGTTAACAAACTCAACAAAATAGTTGTATATTTAAAAGATACACAAAAGAACAACACAAATATATTACATAATATAGTAAATCCTATTTCAATATATCCTTTACAAAAACCGTTCATTCTAGTAACTTATGTGAACACTACAAACACTTCTGATCCTAAAGCTTATGAGGAATGGGGGAAAATCATCGATTGGAATGGAAACACTCGAAGGTTTGTCAATATTTTTTGTAAATATTTTTATTTTATATAGATTATTAATAATTAAAATTATAATAATCTGCAAATCACTAGCACAATGTACTTTGGTTGTCGGGATTATGACCTGTCGGGATTTCGCTTGTCGGGATTTTGACCCAAACCCTTGGAAAATGTATAATG